AAAAAAAAGGCTTTTGTCAACCTAGTTTATGTTTAGGTATGTAGTGGAGCAGAAAAATCCCTTGTTATCATCAGAAACTGTGTCTTGACTTAGAGGGCTTTGCCAGCCTTAACTATAGTTTTTGAGGCTTTATGCTGTAGACTTGGATAAGTGGAGGAGATAATAGTCTTGTTTTGCAGACACTTTTGTACTTTTATGTATGCAGTTACTTGAGATGTTATGACAATATACCACCCAGATCAGCTGCTTTTATTCTTCATGACCTGACAGGCATAGAAAGTCTGATTGATTGATTGATTGATTGATTTTATTTATTTTACACCGTGGAAGCACACCACTGGCAAAGCAGTCAGGACTTTATTATCACACTTAATGTACATGTCTAAAAGTGTTTAAAAATCAGTATTACTCCGGCTGGGACTGTGTATGCACTGTAGGCCCCTCTACACATGCAGGTTAAGGTGCCATGGGATCTTATGCATGATCCATACAATTGCGCTTCCTACCATGCCACACATGCCAGGCACCCCCTGCACTGGCAAGAAGCAACCTCCCATGGCTGGGAGCCCATCTCAGCTGCAATTTCCCAACATCAGGTTTCATGTACCCTGCACTGGGAGATCATGGCAGCTGCGTCTCCCAGCCCAGGGGTTCCACACAACCCCAAGACCATGAGATCACAGCCATGCCCTGCTTCCAGGACCCAGCTGGGTCCCAGCATCAAGAGGCACACTGCAGGGACCCAGCATCTGCAGCTATGGGACTCTGGGTCCCAGCAGCTGCAAGGTGCTGCTGGGACTGAGAGTCCCCTCAGTTGCAGGACGGCCAGCACCAGCTGGGCATGGTGCACCCTTGCAGCTGGGAGCCTCAGGGCAGACTCTTCTACAGCCATCTTTAAAGTTAGTACACATTTTTGAGGTCTAACTTTATAGCTAGTTGGAGCTTTTTATGGCATGAGAGGTATTTTGTGCATGTAACTGGTTTCAAGGTAATTACACAATTAACCTGTAATTTTTTAGAATTACCTAATTAATTAATAAGCCTGATTTTTCTTCAGAAATGTACACCGTAAACAGCAGTTAGGCATAGTCTCTTCCCAAAAGTGTCATTCTTCATTATGCTTCCTAAAACGATATGCAGACATTTTTATTTGTAAATTAAAAGAAGAAAGTAGTGTGGTCATGGGTTTGTTACTAGCAAAGTATTTTTGAAAGGTTTTTCTGTCATAAGTGAACTTACCAAGTACATTTTTCAGTTAACTATATGAGTCTTTTGCCATGTGCATTTCCAAGCTGTTAGGTGTACTTTTTAAAATTTGTGTCTTCGGAGTTGTGTTGAGTTCTACAGTGTTTACGTATGGAGTTTTATGCATAACTTTGTCTCATGTAAATGTAGACTTTTTCCTCCTTCTCAGGTACAGCTTAAGTGCTACCAGCTGCTGCATTCCATCTTTCAGCATTCAAGCAGAGCTGTCTCACATCCTTACATTCATTCTTTGGCATCATCCATTGTGCGGAAATTGCAGGAAACCGAGAAAACAAAACCAGAGAATTCTGCTGAACTCCAAGTAGTCCAAGAAGGAATAAAGGTTGTAACAGCTCTAACAGCTGTGGCAGATGAAGAGCATCGTAAGTCCTTCCATTCAAATACATCTGAAGGCACGGTGATGCTGAACAGTTGCTTTGGATAATTGAGCAAAACAAGATTGATAACAAAAACAATAGAAATGATCAAATTAACAAATGAATTATTTATCAAATTAATTACCATTAGTTACTCTGAAAGCAAGAGTTCTTGTGGGTGATATCTTTTATTGGACCAACTGTATGGTTGGTATGCGTGGTATAATACCTGTCCTCAGGCCTCTTAGACAGCAGGCAGAGCTGAACTAAATAGCAGATGAAACAAATGTAGGATCCTTATTACCTGTGAAGTGTGGGGGTTAGGGAGCATCAGGAAGATTAAAATGGATCTTGAAGTCACGGTCTACGTTGCGTCCCTGGTGCTTAATGTCCAATTGGCTAATGAATTTCTGTACCCACTTTCCCTTGCAAAGGTGTTGGAGAGATTTCCTTTGAGCACTAGAACTTTAAGGTCAGACGCAGTGATTTTTTTTCTGTGAAAAATGTTCTTGTAACTGTCATTTTATTACTGTATCATTTACTGTTCATCTTAAATAACAAAAGTTTTTTTTTTAAGATCAGTAATACTAGTTAGTAATTGGAAACTTGGTTAAAAGATTGCTTAAGTGTTGTTTTCAATCTTTGTAGGTGCTCATTTGGTGGCCTGCCTCCTGCCCATTCTTATTTCCTTTCTTTTGGATGAGAATGAACTGGTATTGGCCACAAACTCAGCAAGAAATCTACATGAGTTTGCATTGCAAAATTTGATGCAGATTGGTCCACAATATTCATCAGTGTTTAAAAAACTAATGGCTGCTTCTCCAACTATGAAAGCCAGGCTTGAATCAGCTGTAAAAGGCAATCAGGAAAGCATCAAAGTCAAGACAACATCTAAACATGTGAAGAATCCTGGGAAAAGTTCAAGCATTCAGCTAAAGACAAATTTTCTTTAAAGTCACTTATTTAAATCTTATGCACTTTGATGCTGCAAAAAAAACCTTTTCATTTCTAGTAGGGAAGGGCTGCTTTCAATTTTAGCTCAGTTCAAATTTAAAAGCCAGCTGATTTTTTTTTAATTAAATTCTTTACAGATTGCTTTTGATTTAATATAATAGACTTTTGAAACTCATCTGACCACTGTGTAAACTTTATCAAAGGTTACATAATTTGTATCTTTGCATTAGTAAAATTCCAGGAATGCACCTCACTTGCAGATTTGGGTTAACATAGAAAAAAAATAAAGACCTTTAACAGCTATATTTAGAAGCCACACATCTTTAGTCATTAAATAAAAGATTTTTTTTTGTTTTAAACAAGTATGATCAATTACAAGTTAATATGACTGTTGATTTTTTTTAAATTTAACTGGGTACATAATTTACCTGCAGTTCATAATCTATTCTAATTACTGTTTTAACATACTGCATCATTAATCAAATATATTAAATATCCCTACAATCCTTAAATAAAATTATTGAGCTCTAAAACCCAGCTCCATTTAAGGTAATATTCATAGCTTTAATTACATTCTAATGGACCCTTGTGCTGGCCAAGGTTTAACAAATGCCGTCATACTGCAGCTTCACAATATTCTACAACTGAGGTCCCAATCTGCAGTGGTTTACACAGTGAGACTTTGCACAGTGCTTTAGTATGCACACATGCAAGTGTTTGCCTGGCTCAGTGCCTTGCTGCTTTATTAGTCTCACTTTTCAGGATATATCTTTGTTTTAGTTTGATATTGTGCTAGGGAGACAATTAATGCTTACATAGCTTGTCCTGACTAGGACAACAGTTTTGATGCACTGTGCCTCGGATTCAGACATCTTATTTATCTGGATACATTTGTTTCATGATCTTTAAATGATCAGTTATATATACCTGACTCACCTTAATATGCATATGTCTTCAAGGAAGGGTGGAAAGGTTTGAAGTCAACATATCTTGTGTCAAATAAAAAAATACAACAAACTCATAATAAAGTAAAGAGTACAATATTGCAATTTTTATCAAGGAACATATTTTAATATAAAAAAGTCTATTGAAATTGCAGTGGCTACAAAGTATTTTCTACATGCATTGCCTTCTTCCTTTTTGCCAGTATTACTATAAACCAAATGCTATCAACATGAGATAGTATTTCCTTGTTAAAAATTACACAAAAAAAATAAAAACATTGGCAGGACTGAGAAACACACTGTGACTCAGGTAGTGTGTAATGTACTGTATTTTATTATAAGTTTTGTATATAAATACAATTGTAAATTGTACAGAATTAACCATTTGACCAAAATTCTAACCATGCATTTTTCTAATTTACATAAATAAAGCTAATTTTCTTCACTTAATGTTGTTTTTAGTCATTATGCCTAGGAAAAGAACCAGCTGTTGTGTAGATTTCTAAAAACTGAGACTGTATTATCCCTGGGGGGGCCCTATCAGTGTCCTTCTAGGCACATTTACAATAACAATGGAAAACGTAGTCAGTAAGATATTAAACCTCCCTGTAAGTGGGTGTACCAGCCTTCCATGCCCCTTCAGGGGAAACCTTCTAGATGTATATGGAATGGCATGAGTATAGTTATTAGTTGGTCTTGAAGTTAAAGGTTGAAGAAAATAATTGTTAATTTGGTTTGTAATTAGCTTAATCAAGGACTTGGTCTGTAGTGCTAAACAAGATAGGGTCCTCAAAGATCTCAAAATTGCAGCAATGGAATCTGTCTTTTTCAGGACAGTGGGTGTGTCTACACATGACGCTACATCACTGTAGCAATATGCTATGATGACATAATGTCCATGGGTAAAACCATGATGCCGCAGCTACATTGCTGTAATGACATGCTCCCTCAGTATAGTGCATTGCTATGGCGATGTAGCAGCTAAAAATAACCTTATGCCATGCACACAGCGCAGTACCTTTTGGAAGTACTAAATGACAGTGCAGTAACAACAGCACCGTAGGGGTATGTGTAGACATGCCCATAGTAATTGAATGTAGTTCAATTACATTTAACAGGTTTTCTGCCAAACAAATTGGGTGGAATCAAAAAAGGAACTCGATGTCCATCCTTCTCTTGCTTCACCCAATTTCGTAATTGAGAAGCACTACTCTTCTTCCCCCCATGAATCCTCTCCACACACTAACCCAGAAGTAAAAGAAAAGACTTAAGAAATGGCACTAACTTCTAATATTTACGTTAAAAAATATTGATTTATTTCATTCTAACAATTTTTTTATCTATTTGGACTTCAGAAAAGCCTGTGTCCTAGGCTTGCATGTGCATCTTACACTTAAAAAAAATCCTACTTTAAATTGAAGCAAATGAGATTACAAAAGATAGCTGATTATAGCTTTGCATTAGTTCCTCTGTTTCCTACTTCTTCTTGCTTGACCTGAAAAAGTTGAACTTGTCTGAAAATCTGTTTCGGTGCTCAGTTCTTGGGCACACTCATGAATCTGTTTTCAACACTTGTGTCCAAGTGACAACGTTCCCAAACAGGCAGCTGTGCTCACTTGTTCAGTCACTTTATTTGGGGATATACTCCTTGTAAGCACTTCACCTGGATATCAGTCTCTGGTTTTGGTTTGTTTGTTTGTTTTCTTGGGTGGTTTCCAGTAGGGAAATAAAAACATACTCATCTAATAAAATGGCACCTTTGCAGTATTTAAAGCCATTATTCCTTTTTTACCTGAGCAGTGAACCAGTATTTGGGGTCCTGAAGAAGATTTTAATTGCCAAGACAGTTGGGTGATTGAACCAGGAATCCTTTGATGCCGTTCTGTTTAGTCACAAAATCCTGTTTCCAAGAATACAGCAGAGATCAAATAAAGAGGAGTCGGGGGGGGGGGTTGGGGGGGGCGTTGCTTATAGCTACAGGGCTTTTTCTAGCCATAACTTGGTCAAATTTTTCTTTCATACTTTTTTTTTTAATCCAGGTCACACTAAAAGCACTATTTTTCCTGTTCCTGGTGCCTCCTTGATGTGTCTCTGTCAACTTCCCTGATCTTTCTGTCCCTTTTACAGGCACAGAGAACTGTGATAAAATAATACCTTGTAAAACTTGCAAATAATTTGCCAAGGTATTGACAGATGCCTGTATAATTGACAATTATACTTGCTTGAAGTCCCACATGCTGAAATCATTCATTGTGCAATTTTGTCAATGAAGTTACCATTAAGCGTATGCAAAGCTTACAGGGCTCTGCACTTGTACAAACAATGTTCATAATTTGTTGATGAGCTATTTTGTATGTGATCTAGTACTGGTTTGTTCTGTTTAGAAGTGTGCCAGGTGACTACAAATTGAAAAGACAATGTAAGCTACAATAATCAGTAATACTTACAGATATTTAGAGCGTGGGACAGTATCTACCACTACTTAAGATTATTTGGTGTACAAGAAGTACAGTAGTCTTGTAGGTAAGAATGTACTAATTGGAAATTTGTAGGGATCTCCTCACCAACAATGCCACAAGAAAGCTGATGCGAGTCGCTGGGCATGGGAAGAACTGAATGAGTGCAGCAGGCACTTGGGTAACTATTTTTTGGTAGCAGTAGTAGTAACCCAGTTGGCAGTAGTCAAAAGTAAACAGGCAGATAATTCAGTAAAATATGATTCAATGGAATTCCACCCAGTGTCAAGTTCTGCAAAGTTTGGGCATGTATGGTAATAATCCCTTTCAGATATATGTGAACAACTGGCTTAAGCTGGCTGAAGTCACATCTGAAACTTGATTCCTAATTTAGAATCTTGAATAAAAACTTGTTTGGCAAGGATACTTCCTACATCCTGAACTGAGCTTTATATTAGTAATAAATCAAGTTATGGGCTTTCTAATAAAAGGCTTTTAGCCGACATGTTATGTGGTGTGCTCTGCTGTCTGTAAAACAGTCAATACACTTTAAGCAAATATAAATTACTAGCAAGCTACCTAAAGTTTTTCTCTGCTGGTTGGAATATGGCACCTGAAAGAAAATAAGAAAATTAAAGAAAAAATTATGCAAATAGTATGTACTGGTCAATCAGCTTACTGAGGTATTTGATGTAATCTTGGCATATATTATCATCTACTACTGTACAGTGTCATAAACCACTGGTAGACTGATGATGATGTAACTTTTAGTGCTAATTCGCCTTCTGTCTGCCCTGCATACTCTCTTGATTTGCTCCCACGAGTCCAGGGGAGGAAGGGAGAGTCTAACACTTGGCCAATAGATGCAAAGAAGGGGGAGTAGTGAGATGCCCAAACTGCCATGTTCAGTTTCCCTGAATGAAGGTGGTTGAGGCTGAGGAGTTGGTGGCTACTTTTAAGCTATCTGTCTCATTTTTCTTTCTTTGGAGCTGCTACCTTTCCAGGCTGCCTCTTCCTTAGTCCCACTGGAGCAAACTAGAATGGTAGCCCAGAACCATTCTGGGGATGTCTACACTGCTAAGTATCCACAGCCCAAAGGCAGGTAGCCAGTCTCCCTTATCTGTGTTATTTCATCTAACATGCATCAAGACTTGGGTTGGTTAACTGTTCAGGTGTTATGCAAGGATTTGTGGGACATATCCTACATTCCTTAGTGCAATATAGAAAGGGCCCTTCTAGGAACTGACTGGTGGTACGTTGTAGAACACCTTGTGTCATCTTAAAGGACAGAATTTATTTTAGCCTACTGTTGCAGGTTGGTTGTCTCAGTACACTGCTTGGTTTGGGGTATTTGTAGTGATGATCTGAACAGTAGACCACTATCTACAGTAGACAATGGGGGTCCGCTTATTTATGGTAGAGTAGTTAAAAAAGATGCTGGAAGGCCTGGTGAGCATTACAGAAATGTTCATGGGTGTAGAGGAAGAGCACTGGACAACCTGATACAGGATACAACTGCTGACTTGTTCCCAGCCACCCACCAAGATTTCTAAAGAAGGAAAACCATGTAGCATAGTAAGATCAGAAGGTTTCCAGGCAGGACATCTTATCAGTATCTCTAGAACATCTATCTCCATGAGGAAACAGACCTTTGTGGGCTTGCTCCACCCCTCCAGTGCTACAGTTCATGACACAGGGAGCCCATATTGCTATGGATGCAGGTTGCTATTCCTGGCTACCTCAAATTGTTTCAGGTCCTTAGCTAACCTGTTTGGTGTTGGGAAGTCAACTGTTGGGGAACAGGTGACTGTGCTGTTTGGGAATTGCTTATCCCTGGGCAGCTGTCATCAGAAGCGCCCAAAATAACAGTTGGCTTTCCAAATTCCACAATGGTGCACACATGCCCTAGTTTGCCCTGTTGAAGGAGCCAGCAAATATGTAAATATGCTAATCCCCAGGTTTTGCTGGGACCATATGGCTGGGTCGATCAATGTGGGAAGTACTGACAGGACACACAACACTCAGAGAGGGATCATTTGCTTGCTTGGACAAGCTGGGACTTTCCTCCCTCTATGTGACTTTGCTGTCAACAGAAAACAGGTGCCTGCTGTTATTTTAGAGGAGTGCTGCCTATCCTTGCCTGTCATGAAGCTTGTACCCAGATGGTATGGTACTATACAGAAAGAAAGGGATCTTATTCTCTTTCCCATCTGACTAGATACTCCTGGCGATGAAGTAGAGGGATGAAGTAGGGCAAAAGCTTTGAAAATCCAGGCCAGAAAACTGCTGTCATAGCTAATAACCCAATACTTTGTGGTGCAAGCTGTTCCCTACTGGCTGCTTTTCTAATCTACAGACAATAAAGTCCCAATTTTGCCCCTTTGCATCTGACATGTATTCAGCATACCTGAGAGTGGATAGTGTGCTGTGCGGGCAAAAAGAGGCTGGCTCCTGGGCAGACCGTGCAAACCATGGTGAGAAAAAAGTTATGTGGGTGCAGCTGCTAACGTTACAGTGCTCGTAGTGGTATTTCGGAGGGAGCATTTTTTCAAATCAAGCAGGGCTTTGAGGCCGTGAGAGAGAGAGAAAAGTGATCTTAAAGAGATGAGAAGAAAAAGTGGGGAACTGACCAACAGACAGTAATAGTTGGTCCTCCAGGCATGGAAAGAGAGATGACAATTGAATCAGTGGGGCTTTATCTTATCCATGCATGATATAGTTACAGCCTCCCAAGTTACTACTTTAGAAGAAAATCTGTCAATTTCAAATTAATTCTCCCAAGAAATAGGTGAACTCATTTCAATTCCCACTAGAGGAATGTTCTGAAGTTGTTTGTTATTGCTCAGTGTAGTTACTAAGCTTCACCACTTTATAATGCATGCTACATTAATATATTAAAGTTTTGCTTTGGAGAATGCCATTAATTAATATTAATTAAATTATTATATATTATTATTATATTAGATATATTATAGTATATTAAAATGATTATAATTATATTATATTATAATTATAATATAATATAAATGTAATAATATAATTATAACATTGTATTATAATATTATATATAATATTATTGTATATTTATATATAATCATTATATTATCATATATTAATATAGTAAAGTTTTGCTTTGGAGAATGCTAGATTTGGATTTTAGTAATCCCCCTACATTCTCAGCTAGAATATGAGAATTCTGTGGTACTGCTGGTTGGAATTTTTTAGCAAATATTCACCCAAAATGTAGTTTCAGTTGACCTGAGCCTATTAGTGAATTTAGATTAACATGATAGTTCCAGCCAAAAATAAAGTACAAACTAGAGTCAAATTATCTCCTTTTTGCTTACACCACCCAGCCTGGGTATGGGAAGGATGAGGATTCCTCCTCTGCCTGGTCAGAGCATGAACACACATTTCCTCCCTTTCAAGTGTGTGTCCTAACTTATCATGGGATGCAGCAGTGCTGCCCAACTTCAGAGTGATGGAGGGCTGCGGCTGCACACCACAAGGTGCACCTGTGCGGGACACAGACCTACTGGGGTGTGCATCATGTGGATCTGCCACTGTGCTGCATTGTCCCCTCCCCCCTGCCTGCTTTGCAGGGAACCCAGACCCCCAAATCCTGAGTTTCTTGGGACCCATAGCCACACCACCTCCCAGGGTGAGAGCAGGAAGCTGAAGTTAGAGGAGGGAGAAGGAGCCTGGAGACCTCTGCAGAAGCAGTCTCTGTGGTGGGGGGAGAATGGGGCCCAGGGGGGATTCAGGGAGCCATAAATTAATTCCTTGGGGATGCATGCAGTCCATGGGCCACCAGTTGGACAGGACTGGTATACAGTATGTTTGTCAGGCTAACTCATGTATGTAGAAAGAAAGACCTGAGAATCAGTGATGCAAGGATAAACATCTAGGAAAGTATGTGGGATAGGTAAAAAGACCCAGAGGACCAAGGAAACCTGAAGTATTCCAGCATGGACGTGTGTCTTTGGGTAAGAAGAAAGTGTTCCCAGAACAATGTTTTGGAATATGTTTATTATATTCCAGTTAATGAAGCAGTACTAGTAGGTACCTGCTCCAGTCTCTGACATCTTTACAACAAAGTGAAGGATTTATACACAGGAAACCATGTTCAAATAAATGGAAACAGACTGCTGAAATTGACCCAGTTTGCTTGTGGTGGTGGCTACATTACAATAATCGAGGTAATACCTAGCTCTTACAAAGGCAGTATTATCCCCATTTTGCAGATGGGGAAATAGGCAGGGATAGGTGAGATGATTTGTCCAAGGTCTGCTAGAGCACTGTAGACCAACCTTTTTGGCACATATGTTACAAATTAGCCCCATGCTCTCTCCAAGTGCCACTCTGATCCCTTTCTTCTACCCTATCTGCTGCTCTGCTTCCTGCCCTGTGCTCCCTGCTTGATCTCTTGCTCTGCATGCTGGTCCCTGCCCTATCTGCAGTTGTGTTCCCTGTCCTCTCACTGATCTGTGCCACTTGTGGCATGCAAGTCGTGCATTGGCCACCCCTGGGTTAGAGGACTAGAACTAAGAACAGAGACCAAATTTAAGTTCTGTTGACTGAACTATGCTGCCTCATACAGGTTGGTAGCTGACTGGAAAGCTATGAAGTATTTGATAAATTATTTAAAATATGCTAATTTGTCAAAATTTCCCTAATTTCTTTATACAATTAGCCATGTTTGTTTTGTTTAGTGTTGTTGATTACTCACTGATTTGGAGGTAAACAATAAGTCTTTCAGCAATTAGCATAAATTAAGGGAGCTTTTACTTAGCTTCATACTTCATACCCTGTTCATCACCTCATGTAATATAGTGAGGAAACAAGCTGATGCGTTTGTTACACAGAGAAAATGCAATAGCATTAATATTCTGCAACATGCATCTGTACCTGTTGGTGGAAGTGGTTAAGCCTCAAGTCAGTCCCATTCTATGTGGTCTTTCAGGACGCCATCAGAACTGTCACCGCAGCTGTGGAAATGTAAGAGGAATGTGGCATCTGTCTCTGCTCATCAGAAAAATAACATACTGCAAGCACTATCAACAGAAAGGGCAAACCACTTTAAAATATCTTCTCATTTCAGTGTCATGCAAGCTGATTTCTTTTTCAGTAGATTTTGTGTATTCTGATTACCAATTATTTGGCACAAAAATTATATTTTAATGACAATACCCTATTTACTCACATAACACATGCATCTTTTCCCCAAAGCTTAGTCTGCCAAAAATGGGATGTATACTTTAAGCAGAGTAGCTGATTTTCTACACTGAATAGTAGCATGGAAATCCTTAAGATGGATGCTGCTTCTTTTCCTTCTCTTTTCTCTAGCACCTGCATGAAGAGAGGAAAGAGTCTAGCAAAGGCAGATCCAACCTAGGGGTGCAATGGTGCAGTTGCATCCTATTTTGATTCCTGCTCTACCCAAAGTTTAACACCAACTGCCCAGTAGAAGCAGTGGCATTTCTACCCAGGCAGAGCTGAGGGAGTCAACTGACTCTCTCTGTTTTAATAGTCTTGATGGTCCACTAATCAAGCTATCATTTTTTCAGCTATGTTGCTGTCCATTAGCTATTTCTGTTTTCTCTTCTCCTGTTTCACAGCCCTGCATGTCTTTAGCTTTTTTCAAAAACCTGAATGTGCCCATAGAGTCCACTCTTCAGCAGAGTTACAGTTGACTGAGCAGCCAAGGGCTGTTAACATTTCAGCTGTGACAGGGTTATAGCAGTAGCTTTTGACTAAGCAGGTAAGGGAAAGTGAGCTGAAGATGAGGCTTTGTGTCCCTGTCCTACGTGGCCACAATTTTTTTTCCTTCATTCTGCCTTTCCAAAAAGAGGTTGTATTTTTTTGGGGGGGCATGTGCTATGCAAGAAAATATGGTAAAAAGAGTTGCATAATTAAAGAGACCATGTTACGCAGACTGAGCTGCACAAGATTTTTCTTTTCTTGTTCATTGACTTGGAATTTCAGTATGAAATAACTGCTGCAAGAGTATGTCCAAATAGATGAAGGTCTTTCTCTCCATATCTTTAATACATTGGTATCAAATTATAAAATGCATCCATCAGTCATCCCTGGGGTAATATTTCTCTTTCTTACCTTATATAATATGTAAATATTTTCTCTGTGGCGAAGGTTTACAAGCTTTCTGGCTTTGGGCAATACTTCATTCTCACTAAGTTCAGTGTGAGTAAAGGCATTCAGCATCTCACAAGAAGAGATCCATTATACGAGTAAGGTCATTGTGACACAAAAAATCTCTTGAGATGCCCACAGGCTGAAATCCAAAGTCACTTCCTTTTCCAGAGGGACTTTCTGAATTTGAACCACACGAAGTGTTCAGCCTAGGACACCCCCAGGATACCATCGAAGTTGAGTGATACTTGAGTTTCATTACAATCACTCTCTTTTGACTTCTCTCTTAATCTTTAAGACTCCTTAATTCTTTTCTTCCCATCCAAGATTTGCATGCAGGTTGTCCCTTAAAATTATTCACAATTAAAGCTAAGTTTTCAATATTCAAATACAATGCATCTGCTAACAAAATTCTGGTAATCATTAAGTTAGGGAAATTGTAATATAAAAGTCAGGATAGCTAGCAACATTATCACATACATGACAAATGTTAAGGCTTTCATCTAAGGCATAAAGAGTAAATCTGGGGGGGGTGTTAAATAAAGCCAAGTACAATAGGATATCATGCAACAAAAGGAAGTGGATTCAAGGTTGCGGTTATTACATTTTAATGACCATGTTCTGTTCTGTTAACCTAGGTTGTAGATAAGGCCTTGCCCTTAAATAAATGGAGTAGTTTACACTACTGTAACTGAGAAAAGATTTGGCCTTCAACTATTAAATGATGCCACTACTGGCTTAATTTATCCAGATTTCTCATCTTAAAGATATTTACTACTTCCTTAATTATCCAAAAGAGTAAATAGATGATGTCAGTGGAAATACACACTTGTATAAAGTTTAAACAGCAGTGTCAAAGTCTAAAGGAGCACAGCCTATATTGCTTTATGCAGTTTTAGCTGAGAGAGAGAAATGAAATTAAGGATTTGGTAACAGCTGTAAACTATCTATGTGGATTAGGAAAAAAATGTTACGGTATTTTTTCTGTTGGGGATTATAACAAGATGGCAGGTTCTAAGACCTTAAATAGGAAGGGAAGGCTCTTCTGCTTACCCCACCATCTAGCGGGAGCTAGAACATGACATAAAGGTGCTAAACAGATGCAGATGACTCATTATAGCCCTTGAGTTGCAAGCACTTATGCACATACTTATCTTTGCTACCATGAAAAGACTCAGTGTCTGGGACCAAGGCAAACAGTAATCTCAGGTGTGTTTGCAGGATTAGGGCATATGTCACGTGCAATTTAACTCCACTACCTGCAAGTGAAGTATGTATGTATATAGTTAGGAATGACACAGATAAGCTTTTGGGTACTAATGTAGCTTTCCTCAGATCTCTGAAGGGGGAAAAAAAGCAAACAGAGCAGATAAATTGCAGGTAGAACAGAGACTTGCAGAACTCCATACGTAAATAAAAATAAGATATAAGAGAGAATATCAGGTAGCTAATAGGCAAGAGAAATGAAGTAAAAGAATAACCTGATAACTGGAAGAGCAAGACTTTTCAAGAGGGTAAGGAAAGTTTGTAAGTTTTAAACATGGTTGTTCCTTAACTGGCGAACAAAGTTTAATTTGAGGGACAGGGTTAAGAATTGCCTGGATATCTGTGAAGCATTGACAATATAAACCAATGTGCAGGTGTCTCTTCTTCTGGAACAGAAAAAAATGCAAACAAAGAAGGCATTTGGAAAATGTGTAGAAGAGTAGTTTAAGTGGTGATCAAGCACTGCTTTCCTTCTTTTTCAGGATTTTCAACATTTAAATCTAAGGAACAGATTTTTCAGATTTGTTGTTTGCAAAACAAGCAACTAATATGGCTTTCTTAGCAATGTGGCAGGGCTCCAGCAAGATGGACTGCCATTTTTCAGGAGAGATTTTCTCTATGCTTTGCAAGAAGACATTTGTCCTTCAGGAAAATGCTGGTTTCATAGTTGGTAGGGTTGGAAGATACCTGAGCAGATCATCAAGTCCGACCCCCTGCCACAGGCAGAAAAGAATGCTGAGGTCAAACGACCCCGGCTAGGTGGCTGTCTAGCCTCCTCTTAAAGACCCCCAGGGTAGGAGCGAGGACCACTTCCCTTGGAAGATGGTTCCAGATCCTAGCCACCCTGGCAGTGAAGTAGTGCCTCCTGATATCCAGCCTGAATCTACTCTCCATCAACTTATGGCCGTTATTTCTTGTTACTCCCAGTAGTGCTCGGGGGAACAGGGACTCTCCCATTGCCTGCTGGTCTCCCTTGGCCAGTTTATAGACAGCCACCAGATCCCCTCTCAGCCTCCTCTTGTGGAGGCTGAACAGGTTCAGATCCCATAGCCTCTCCTCATAGGGCCTGCCTTGCAGTCCCCTGATCATGTGAGTGGCCCTCCTCTGGACCCTCTCCATGCTGTCCACATCCCTCTTGAAGTGCAGCGCCCAGAACTGGAC